GATCTGGCATCGCGATCAGTTGTGCAGACCACTGATGAAACCTTCAGCTCACTGTTGTTGACGACTTCCGTCCTGCCTTGAGTCACGTTGTTGACCTGGACTCGCACATAAGGATCGCTCTAAATTCCACGTCAGTTAACCTTCTAAAAGGTCTTTGGCCGTACACAGACCTTACCGCCAAGAGCCGCTTCCACATTCCTGCGAGAACAATTCGACCTGACTATGTCTCAAATCGGGAGGAAGACTCACTTGACGTCAGTTGCCTTCTGTAGCCAAAGTCTCACAACCCCGATGGGTGGAACATATTGATTGGCGCCACTGAGAGCGCCGGCCATATTCAGCGGTTTCCACTGCGCACTAATTCGAACCTTTCCACTCTTGCATCCACTGAGCGGCCACCAATCACGCCCCTCTGATGTCTCAGCCATAAGCAAGTCCTCAAGGCGAACAGACATGTATCCAACGACGGGATCCTTCAAGAAGTCGCGGTCATCCACAACCTTGATGGTGATCACGGAAGACTGTTTGTCGGAGCAAAGAAATTCAATGGGAGACTCCCACACCGGATTATTCGTGTGTTTGATAATCTGAGACTTGTGGATGGCCGAATTACTGTTTCCAAGAAACACCTTCGCAATGGGGTTCAGGTCACCGGAAAATGATTTTGAGGCATCAAGCTCCTTGGCCTGATGGACGGTCAGACGCACTATGCCAACATCTAGGGACACAGTTGAGTTGAAGCGCTTCGTACATGAAAAGATACGAACTCGTATTCGGCAGTTCTTCCTTGCCATCCACGATCTCGGGCTTGAGTGCCGGATAGTAGGATACGTTGAAACGAACGTGACCTTTGTCTTTGCCGTCTTTCAGAACTGGTAACTCGATACCCTCAAGCGTGGCATCCTCCAGCAGTTTCTCCAGCCCAAACGTGGCAGCACCGAGAGGTGTATCCTTTCTGTGCTCATTGTAATCAAGGAGGCTGAGTACCAATGAGTCCTGCAAGGAGTTGACCAAAATGAATTTAGTCTCCATCCACGTTGGATTATAACTGGGCTAAATTAAGCGATATTGCCTGGACAAGAACGTGGGGATACTCACGTGCTAGGCCTGTATTTCGTCCTGGCAAGTTCCTCACGATTGTTAATGCTGATGCTGACAAAAGGATCAGGAGATCCCCCGCCAATTTTGCTAGTTTTAAGTCCGCGAGCAGCTTCAACTGTGACCTGAATGACACCGATTGCCGCATCCAAAGGGATGCCAGAGAGTAATTGCTCCAAATTCAGCGTGAAAACGTTCGGGTCGTACATCATGGGACCAAGGGTAGCATGCACCATTTCACGAATGAAATCTGACAGACCTGGGATCTGTGATGACGTGAGACAGATACTCGTTCTCGATGAAATGCACTGACGTGGGCAATATCGAACCCAAACGTATCACCACCCACTGGCTTGAGGACATAGTCAAAGATGGGTTTCTCTAAGAAAGTGATGTCCACAATCTGGATGTGGGGGAAATTTGACACAAGCTTCATTCTGATCCTCATGAGACCAGTGAAACTGATATCTTCAATCAAAATAGGCATCGCTGCAGTTGCCAAACCTTTCCCGACTCTTACTGACAGAACGATTTTGGGGTTGACTTTCTGTGCTGCCTGACGCGGAGTGAGATCCGAGACATCATTGGGAGTGAATGAAATGCCCCAGTCCATCATCACAATGTCGTCTTCGGTGTTGGGAAATGTCCTGACTTTGTCGATCCGTGGGGCTTTTGTGCCCAGAGTGAAGGTGGTGAGTCGTAAAGAGTCCAAGAAAGCCGGGGTGCTCGTGCTCAGAATTTGATCGACGGAGGCGACAACTGTAGCAGAAAGAACGGGTTCGTATATGAGCCAAAAACGGTCGAGGAAATTGTTTAACCAGTCGGCACTTTCGTGTTCTGATGCAAGACGGGTTTTGACCAGTTCGCGCTGAATGTCATCGCGAGCACGACGACGCACGCGGGACATTGAGGTGACGTAGTATGTGTTACATATGGCCAAAATAATGAATAGCCAACCCCATCCGAAGTTGAAACGCGTCAAGAAATGCGAAGCGAAAACAGCCTGTAAAATTATGTGAGACGAAGGAGACACTGTGCACACTTGCCGTTGAAACATACAAAGAATATTAGTGCAGCATTGTGGTACCAATCGCCGTAGAATTGCTCGGACAAAAACGTTTGAAGGATAGCTTTATCTTTCTCCTCTCCTTCTTCGAGAGAGGGAACATCGATATTGGAAACTGCGCGCCATCCGATTTTGTACCAATCCGGAATTGTAGGAGCTACTGTTGAAGGGAAGGCGCCGGGTGCAGAGGGGGTAGGTGCGGCCTCAGAAGGAGGACCTTCGGTCTTCTCCTGATCCTCTTTGGTTGCCTTGTCGGTGTCTTCCACGGTGATTGTAGGTATAGGACCTCCACTCGCGGCGTCGACGGGCATTTCTAGGGTGGAAAGACGGTCGCTATACGTTCTTGGCAGGAGGGTTTTTATGAGGACGCACCTTTAGCTACAACTGCGAAACCATCCTGTGCTGAGGAGCCGTTGGGTTTGTCTGCGCTCTTGGCAGCTGCTGCGGCCTTTTCGTGGGGTGGTGCGTCTGGATGGAACGAATAGACTGCGGCGCCTTTCTGAGCGTCACTGTTCAACACCTCGGCAAGCGGGGCTTGTGCGTCGTCTTGATGTACAGGCTGAGGCGCGTTGGTCGCCATTAGCCAAGTATGGAGAAAAGAAAGTGGAGAAGGAAGGGAAAGAGAGATCGAGTGTTACTTATTGACAGCTGTAAAAAGCAAGGATGAGTGGTGGCGCGACGAGTTGTTGGAACGAAACATTAGGGGACCGAGCCGAAATACGTAATTGGAGCCGGCTCCATAGATGTCATGACCGCACTTGTCCCGGAAATCTTCCTTATATGGTACATTTTCCGGTGGTCGAAGTCGCCACTGCTTCCGGAGTGCATTCTCGAACACGACGAAAGCGACTCGTAGCAGCTCTTTGACGTGTGCTTTGCTTCTAGCGCGGTCGAGCTGTTTGTCAAATACTCCACTGATGGATCCCATGCACAACCATACTTGAGGTGCTCACAGTGTTCCACAAGTACAGCGGCTGCGGAACGTTACCTGGTCCAAGGCAAAATATTGATTGCTAGAGAGCTACTGAGCTGGTTGACAAAATAATTGTAAATCGCAAATGCTAAAGTTCTGCCCATCCACCATCCACGTCCTCTCCACCACCCAAGGTAGAGAGCAAGAATACAATAGCACCTGCTGCGAGGCGTAGCCCAAGTCCCCTGTAAAACTGCCCGATACCCGTACTCCTCAACCAACTTCCACCGATCGCCTTTCCTTCGTCGGTTTCCACCTCTTCCACCTCCACCTCCCCTCGTTCCCCCGTCTCGGTGCGCCTTTTAGTTCTTCGCCGAATGGGTAGATCCGATCGCTCTTCCGTCAAGATGTGCCAGAACACATCCACAACGCCGTTGTATGGTACAGGTCGCGTCTCAACGCACGTACGCAATGGTTTCGCCGTACCGCGGGACTGCACCTGCAACCTTCGGCGTATTGTCTCCACTGGCAAAGTCAGCAGTAGACCCACGCAACCACCCAATACCTCGGCAAACGCCCATCCAACAGGATGCGTGTCCGCCGCAACGTGGGGCCCAAGGCCAAGGCGAGGCGCAATGAGAGCGGGCATCACGGTGTGCATGAAAGAACGAATCCCAGTGTCGAGAATGGTGGGGATGAACAGATGCGGGTGGAAGTAAACACCCTTTAGGCCCCCTTCGCGGGCTAGAATGTCAGAGAGCGCGTGGATTGGCCCGGTATACGATTTATATCGAGGCATCGACGTTTGAGCAACAAGTCGTGTACGAACGAGATCCAGTGGCGATAGAAGGAAACCTGTTATGACGTGTGATGCCACAGGTAATAGCAATGGTGGCCTGTAAAATCCACCAGTTGCGGGAATGAAACACGAGTGCAGAACGCTGTCAACGAGTGGTTGCACGTTCGTCAAGATGACATCGTAAATGCACGATGTTAGCAAACCTAGGAGAATATTAGCTCGGATATCCGCAGTTCTCAGAGCTTACCCTTCCACAACGCAAACCATCCTTCTCCCCGGAACTTCACAAGGCGCTTGACCATTCCCCACGGACCACCAGCGCTGCCAACCGGAATGATGTATTCTGGGCGTGTTCCATCCTCCATCACAGACGTTCTCATCACATAGCCTTTGTCGTCGATGAGTTTTGGAGCGGAATATCTCGTAGTTAGACCAGCACCAGGATCGACAAAATAAGACTCGTCTTCATTGCTTGTGTCACTTAGCTTGTATGGTGCGTGAGACGTGCGACGTAGTGCAATTCACAGAGCGAGCGGCTTACAGCTTCTTCCTCTTCCACCTCCCCTTTGGGTTCCAGCACACCGGCTGATGCATCGCGAGGAACCCATTGAATCTGGAGGAGTAGCTTTCCAACCTCCAATGGCATCGCAATCGCGGTGCTGCTATACTGCAGTAGCGCAGACGTTACAAGCGAACGGAAAAGCAGCGGGAGATTGACAGAGGGCTCCCCGCCATTCAATGCAGGTGAAAGGTCGAAGATGGCGTTTGACGGAGGTCGAGTGCTCCATTGGTACGAACTACCTGAAGTATTGGCAGGGGGTGACCCTGGCTTGTTTGCATGCGACGGGGAGAGGGGAGGTACGAATGCCCAGGGTGAAGACGGAGGGTTATAGAGATCACGAAGAGACGAGGTGGTTGAACTCATCGCAATTGTTGGTTCCGATGCAAGATCAGCAGAAAGCGTTGCAGGTACCGTAGTCACGACTCAGACGCGGCAGAGCAAGAGAGGTGTCTTGTAGTGTCTGAGGTATGAAATGTTGAACGTTGAAGCGTAGCTCTGGAGCAAACTGCGAAAACCACGCACTACGGTGACCGCGTCATTGAAAAAATGAGCTTGAAAAACATGCCCGCTGCAAGGTTCGAACTTGCGACCTCAGGATTGCGTAACCTAATATGGGATTACTCATACATGCCAAGTATGAGACCTGCGCTCTAACCAACTGAGCCAAGCGGGCATGAACAAGATGTTTCACTGAATGATGATAGATGGCGTCAGAGGTAAAAAAGGAAGACTTGTTATTCATGGGAAATTGTGATATAATAAGCAATCCGGGGTGAGGACGTTGCTGTACTTTCGGCCGGAGTGTACAAAGTCTGCCATCGACGTTGTTCTGTACTCACCCGCGCTGCTACACTCCCCTTCAATGCCAGCGAATGCTCGGAAGAGGCAGGCGTCTGATTCTCTCCTTCCTACCAGACTCGCGAAACATCCAAGAAAGGACAATTCTCCAGGACTGGTGGCTCGTTGGCGTCAGCTCGCATCTGACGCGCTGAATCTCGGCTGCGAGACATTTATGGCTTTCCTTCCAAGTGCGTTGTAAACAAACTTAGGGGCTGGTGGCAAGCTGACGGCTAACGCCAGCACCCAACGATGATGAAGATACAGCGCGACCAACAGCTCTGGCGCCAACGCAGTCCCTTCACTCAGCACCTACTCGTACAGTCCTACCGTCTCGCTATCCAATACCGAGAGAATGTCACCCATCAGGAGACCCCCCATCTCGGCCACATGATTCACACCTCTCTTCGTCTCTTCCCTCGAACTCTGATTCTCTGATCACCTCGAATAGTAACAGCACATCGCTTCGTTCTGCAATAACAACAGGGCAGACCTCGATTGAATCCAAGCCGATTTCGGTACCCGGGGATAAAACCATGGACGACGTTCTGGAGGAATTCATAAGGAAGAGTCAGAGAGCTAATAAAATGCACCCCATGTTGTCCCATCGGAGAAGTAGGGAACACATTTTCGCCCGAGTGGTATGCTCCATCACTGTCTTCGGTGGTGCATTTCAGACTCACCGACATTGCGCCTTGCGTCGTCCAGCATAAGGCCAAGGTATTGGAGGACAGGAAACAAGACAGAGAGGACATGCTCAAAGAGTTGTATCATATCAAACGTACCACCGGTGAAGCAGTATCCCCTGACTACCAGATCAGACAGTTGAGATCTCTACTCCAGGGTATACCTCAGATTTCGAGGCTTTCAAATGTATGTCGTCACACCGCGACGTGTGGATCGCTAACGGACTGTCCGCTAGCATATCTTAATTACCAAGCTCGACTTGAGCTACTAGACAAACAGGTTCTCTCGCGTGCGTAGCGTGGTATTTTACACTGGCTGGGTACTGATGTACTGCCTCAGCGTCTCCATCGTTGACGGACCTACGCCTTAAAGAACGAACGCCCGGTCTGACTCACAGGCACTCATTCTCAGATGTGAGGTGTATATTTATTGAATAGAGACTGTCGTCGGTCTCATAATTTATAGGATGTTAATGCAGACTTCTTGGAACGTGCAATTCGAAAGGCGAAACAATCGTTCGCCAGGTGCGTCGTTGTTTGGTTGCAAGTATGTTTTTGACTAGTTTTCGTCAGTCCTCCGCCCAAGCCTTTCTCTACTTACGATCTTCTTCGCTTATCTGAGCGCAAGAAAGATGAGGCCATCGAACAACGTCTTCGACCCTCACTTCCCAAGTCCCTCCCCCCCGACTTGGACCAAGAAGTCGACGCGCTGCTGTCCAAGAAAGGCATTATTTCCAGAGTTGCACGTGAGCAAGTCTGCGACAAAGACTTGTCGCGCCTCGCGCCGCATCAATGGCTGAATGACGAGATCATCAACTTTTATGGCGCGATGATCCTAATGCGCTCGGAGGCGTGCAAGGAGAATCCAGTGACTAATGGTACCTCGGGTGGGCGAAAGAAGCCGTTGAACGTACATTATTTCAACACGTTCTTTTGGTCGAAATTGCAAGGTGAAGGGTACGAGCGTGCGAGGCTTGCAAAATGGACGAAGAAGGTGCTTCTGTACAATTGACGATGACGTTGGATCGCTAACTTCCTATTAGTTTGACATTTTTGCCAAAGATGCCGTCCTTATTCCCATCAATCATAATAACTCTCACTGGACTGGCGGGGCGATTAACTTCCGTCGAAAACGGATTGAGTTATATGATAGTATGAATCTAGATCGACGCCATATTTTCAAGGTTGGAACCATTTGGCCACAGTATCGACATCTTATTGTTTTTCCATTGCCAGGTACTTCGTCATTACTTAGACCTTGAACACCAGAACAAGAAGAAGAAACCATTTAACTTCTCGGGTTGGGAAGACTATTACCCAGATGTAAGAGCATTCCATACACCTGTATCCTTGCTCATTATCTCCAGGATACCCCACAACAAGAAAATGGCTTTGATTGTGGTGTATTTACGTGCCAATTCTTGGAATCCTTGTCTCGAGGAGAAGAGTCCTTCAATTTCTCACAACGAGACATGAGATACCTTCGAAGACGAATGATCTGGGAAATTGGTCACGCAAAATTCCTGGAAGGACCGTAGTATTAACCTCGTGCCTACGTTGCGCTGAAGTACATCGACGGCTGAACATACGCACGACTTCTTCAACTCTTCATTGGGGTACATACTGGATGTGAGATTAGTCTGAGTTGCTGGTGATCCATGGGTCGTCTTGTGCGGACCATTAACTAGCGACTTCTTCATCTTCGGAACCACCATACGACGATAAAAACCCAAAAAACAAGCATGAGAAAGATGATGTACCACAGCCATTGACAGCCATGTCGAACAGCCATGTTGTTCATCCGACGAAACGTTCCTGCGAGGATGCCTGACGTTTCCGTGAACGCGTCGTTCTGTTGGAGGTATTTCATTTCGCAGAAGCCCTTGATCCATTGTGCACCTGCACGTACCATCTGGCTGAGCTGAACAGTGGATTCCCGTACCTCTTTCCCTATGCCGACTGTGATCTTCCATGAACTCATCAGTCCAGAGGGACAAGGATAGCGGTGCAAGAAACACGTACATCCTTCAGTAGCTTTACTTTGGCACTCAAACCTTCGAGCTGTTCGTCATTCTGACCCTCCAAATCATCAGCATACCGGTAACCCGAAGGCTCGTAGAGTGGTTGTTCAAACGGAGAGGAGCGTCCGGAGGCTGGTGGTGTTACACCAAGCCCCGAACGGTCACGCAGTGAGCCTGGTGCTCGGAATCTTTTGAGATATGAGTCTGTAAACAGGATGTTGCACTTGCAATAACTATGGCCTTACCGCTGAGACATTGACTACAGATCCGAAAACTATGCGCCTAGGTGGTGGGAGGAGGCAACGATGTAACGATCGACATATACCCCATTTCTGGCCACGTATGGGTTCATACCTCTGATGAAATTGCAATTCAGAGGCCACCAACTATGTACAACTGGCCCTTCAAATCTTCATGGACGACGTTACGAGCGTCAGTATTGTTTTAAACTTCAAGTGGAGCCTCGTCAACATAGCTTAGACAAGATCTGACGCCTGGCCAGCCACCGGTGCACCCACAAACTGCAATAATGAAGCTTGAGCCTGATAAAGGCTTGGCGTACGCCTGAATGTCAGTCCAGCAACAGTCAAGCGTAGGAGTATATAGTACGTATAGTTATAAATCAAGGACTTTGCAGTATGGGCGAAGGCTGGAACTGGGGATGCGACATGATACGTAGTGGATATGCGAGGATGCAGAAGAAGATATTGTGCAGGTAGAGGGAGAGTCCGCCATACTGATTCAACAAGATGGCAAACAGCGCCGAAAGGTACAGGTCCGTTTAATCAATAAACATCAACCTCATTCAATACTCATCCGGTTGGGATTCATGCTCATGGGTCCACGATGCTGGTGTTGGGAGCCATTGCCACGCCCGTGAGTTTTGCTTCTTGCAACTGGAATAGCGTTGCATGATGAATACATAAGCCGAACGAGAACGTGAAAGCTTACTCGACGTCTTCAATCCCCGGCCAAAGTTCTGCATCAAGATGATCGAGAAGACGATTGTCACTAAAAGAAGGAAAATTGCAATGGCAGCTGTCCCACATCCCTATCAGTGAGACCAGGAAGGGTACTCGTACGGCCTAAGACGTACAGAAAGTAGTGAGTGAATGCCAAACTTGGGCGTAATTCGTGGTCCGATACTTCAGGAGTTTATAGAGCTAAATGGTGTCAATGCCAGTCAAGCTGCGTTTGCGAAAGACCCACTTTGTAGATGAAGTACACCAAAGCGCCTATACACCCTGACATGAATGTCGCCATCATCCACTTGTTTTCGTGACGAGCCGCGAGGTGGCCTTCGATCAAAAGAACGACGGATAACGGCAGGGCAGCCCATGTAACATAATATTCCCAGTCGTTTCTCTGGAGGACTAGCCACAGAAACTGCACGGAGAAACCGACCCAAAAGAAAAGATCGAACTTGACTAGGCATTGGAAAATTTGATAGCTGGCATACATCTTCTTGATGCGACGATCAGCACCCAGGAACTTGTACACCTTCCATCCGAACTCATTGTAAATCTTCCAACCGAGGGCAATATAGGCGATTTCTGCAGCAGATATCACACCAGGGATGATGTCGGTGAGTGTGTCAACCGGTATGTGAATGAAGCCTTCTGACGTCGTCGTCATCGACCGAATTTCCCCGATCTGTATGATGGCATAGAGTAAGAAAAGCAGATTGAACAATCTAAGTTGGTTCGTCAGTGCTATCTCAGTGGTCATAGGTCGTTTCTCACATGAGACAGATAAATTGCAGGGTGTTTCGAGCATACACCGCATCTACAGCGAGAACGAGCTGAAAGACACTAAATAATGCATTAGGTTAGCGGAAATGAGCCCGGGAATTATTTCATACTGAGCCAATGCAAAGACGCTGAGGTATACAGGCATCTTTGCATTTCCTGTGTCTTGAAGTCGGACGAGTAGATCAGCCTCAATAGCAAGGTCTATGGCAGTCTCGATAAGGACGGTTATTACGAAAAACCGGCATGCCCAAGAATCTGGTAGTATCTTGAGGGTTTTGAATAAGAAGCGGGGGAAAGTAATTCATAGCATATGCTTACTCTTGCCCACCAACCTCGGTTATCAACAAGCTTCTCTTGCTTTAGCTTTGGAGGATAACT